AAACTGTCAACGTGACGATGATGGAGGACTATATAAAGGTAAGCTAGATTGGATCACCCTGTGGCGCTGTTCGGCTTGGTGGGGCAGCAAGTTGGGCCTCAGCGATCCTTGTACAAAACGCCTTATGAAGAGTGGCAAATTCCTGTGTCCAAAAAAGGGTCACTTGTCTCACTTCGGACGGCCGAGGAACATGTACTAACAAGCGAAACGAGCAAAAGTGCAAAATACCCCCTTCAAGCCGAACAACGCCCCCGGTTTCCTTGGTTATTACGTATTTTTGACGAAAACAAGTGTTTTCCAGCGTGCCTACGTTACTTTGCTGCAACAGGAATCGGCCTACAAAGGAAGCACATTTTACAAGTCAGAAGATCCCGACAACAACTATAAATGGACATTTGGCAGCGCGTTTTTCTTCTCCATGAATGTGTACACAACGACGGGTTACGGTAGGTGTGCACGATTCCTACGCAATCGATGTGTCGATTTCTTAACTCTCTATAGAAGACGTGGTATAATCCTGCTTACAACGGTTAGGGGAGCGTTTTAGGGGGGGGGGTGGGTTTCGCGGCGGCCAACCGGTTCTCCACAAGCTGTTGAGGGGACAAGCAAGAACGATCTGTGACTGGCACCGTGCCAAGTCAGACCTCCTGACACGTCCAGCATCGGCGCGGAATTTGTAGGGGGCTTGGGTGTACCACGGCTGAGTACATAGCTTGCCCCCAAAGGTGTTGTGGTGAGGTGTTCACTTGAGTCCTCCAAACCAGTGTAAAAGTTCATCCACGCTCGTCGTCTGGGCGGAGTTGAGGCCATCCTTGTACCTGCTTCATTGGCATTCACATTTCATCAGTTATTTCCAAAGACCTCCCCGCTGGGTCTGGAGAGAAATACTTCACGGCAAGCTAAGGCAGATGGAGGACCATGGAGAGGTATAAGTCCCGCTCATTTCTGCCAGTTGGCGCCATCACAGGCGATGAGCAATTGCAACAAGCGGAATCTCGTTGGGAGGACGCTGAGAGCCAGAAAATGGGCGTGGCCTCTACAACTGCGGTGCGCTTTGCGCCAGAAGCGTCCTTTGCGTAAGATGTGTCTTCTTCTTCTACGTAGCGTGAGTCCCGCGCCGCCACAGGTCACCTGGTTTGGAAGAAGTGTGTGCGAAGGACAATTCAAAGAGGGAGGGGGGGGGGGCTTCCGAACAACGATCAGTATTTTCTGGACTTTCGAGCGCTATCCAACGAGCATTGGTTCAAGTTCAGCAGTGCAAGAAATGAAGTCTTTCAGGTTCATTTCCACATTTCAGGTTCCATCGCACCTGAATCGATCGCTGGGAAATCATGTGTGATGGTTTACGGATTCCTATTTGTTCCGCTGACCCTTGTAGTGTTACGAGACCTCGGTCAATGGGCTCTGGTCCACACCACAAAGATCTATGCCCGTTTGTTAATCATGTTCAGGTAAGGGCTTCGTAGTTCTCACTAAAATATAGGCTTAGGAAAACAAGAGGATACAGTATCTCGAATGCGCGTAAAATAGGGTGCGTAAGCGGCGAGTGCACACGGTACCACACAGTTTTCGCCCAGGCGGCACCTGTCTACTGGTCGAGCGTCGTTCCGGCTCGTACCTTACTTCGGAGCAAACCTACTTACGGTATTGTGTCCCCGAGGCCGGCGTATTTAATTTAGCGCGGTATTTTCGGGGTACGATACCCCTCCTGTTTTGCTAAGCTGATTTTGTCTCCGCTCCCCTGGAAGCTCCAGTGGCGACTTTATTCATTCTTTTCTTCATAAAATTTCATTATTCACAATTATTCCTGAGTCTATAGTTTATTTTATTTCTTCAGAAGAGCTCGCGGGTATGAGGACAATAAAGAGGATGAACTGATATCACTGCCAATCAAATTCTGCATGTTTCTCATGCTGGGTAAGTTTTTTGGGTTGTGCCAGAATCATCGTGAAGGAAACCATGGAACTGTTTTAGCCTACTTGTTGTTTGCTAGTCTGTTCATATACGAGTACGATGCACTATCCGGACCAGCTGGTTCAGGAATAGATTTCTTTCATTCATTCTATTTCTCATTCATATCGATAACCACAATTGGATTGGGAGATATCATGCCGAATAACGTAACGGTAAGCATTTTTCCGTATTCTCTTTCTAGGCACTGTTCGACTTGGAAGGGACACTCTGTACTTTCGCTAGTTCCTCATGCTAGTACATGCTAAGTAACTAACAGGTTAACACTCGTAAGCTTTTGCGAAGCTGCAAATTGATCGAGGCAGCCACTTAGGTTACAAGAACTTACAGGTATTGACAAGGTGGATTGCACAAGCCTCGCCTGATACTGTTTGGTGCCCCTTCCAAGCCGAAGAACCTCTAATTGTTGAATAGCTGAAGAAGTTACTTTCAGTTTGCCCCTATAATTACGCTACTGTTCTTCTTCGGTATGCCAATACTCAAAGTCGTCAACAGAAGCACTTACATTTGTGTTGAAAATGGAGTGTTTGGTGAGTTCATAAAGGCAGTAAAAAGGCATATTGGCTTACTTGGAGGGCTGTTTTTATTTTGATTTCCTGGCTATTTCTGATTTTCTGAAGTTCCTTCACATTTCAGGAACCATGACAGTCTGTGAAAATCGGCTCGACAGCTGCTGGACAGGTGTACAACCAAATGATACAGAGGTTTGTTCATTTCAAACCTTGCTCTACAAAGGTCGTCACGCTGGTCGTGTGGGAGGAGTCAGACCACCATTCTGTACCCTTCAGTGCTGCTGATGTCCCTGCAGTGTGCTGAGGTGGTGCACAGTATCGCGCACTACTGTGCAGGGCACAGTGGTAGAACCGACTCCGCCCATTCGATCACCATGGACAGTGCCTTGAATCCTTCCGCTCTTAAAAAGGAAATGTTCAGGCTCAGCCCGTATCGCCTCGTCCATCCATACGAAGTCGGCGAAGTGGTAGCGATTCGCGACATGATGAGGACTCTGATGAGGTATGTCTTTCGTTCATAGGATGATACTCTGAGGGTGGTCTCTCTTCAGTATCGCAGATTTTATTCCTGCGGGTGCGGTGGGTCAGGAGATCCGTGTTGCGGTGCTGCGGCGACCACGAGTGTGTCGCATGGACTGCATTCGCACCCGGACTTGATTGTTTTGGCGCCAAAGGGTAACAAAAGATGCCAAGGGTCAAAAAGCGAATCAGAGAAAATAGAAAAATCCTCCGCTGAGCTACGTTCTTTGCGTCACCGCAACAGGGATCTCCTGGCCCATCGTGCTCTGCAGCTGGATTTTTTACTGAAACCTTCTTCTGAAACCGGTGCATACTTACCTGCCCCCCCTATTCTTGCTTGCCCTTCACCAACAAGGCGAACCCACCATCTTCCAGTTGGTATCGATCAGTAGGAGATTGATGAGGCAATCGATCAGCGTGTCCCTGAAAGACTTAAATACACGATCCACTCCGACTGTGTGTATGGCGACAGTCGGCACTGTTCTTCAATGCTGCGCTAATGCTGTTTTCTGTCCCAGAAGGAGAGCTGCAGGGAGGCACAGCACTTTACTGTCCCCGCCCATCCAGTTAATGCGGACCGTATCGTAGAATTAGACCCGTAAAATTAGATCTTTACGTATATGCGCAGAATTTTTTCTGCTTTTCAGGAACCCTGCTCATTTCTTCCCTTATCTCCCTCCTGTTCGATCCTAAAACCTTCCTTTTTCCAGGAAAATGACGCCAATCAGATGCTCAACAACTTCACGATCCGCTCCATTGCGACATTTATGCGATCACATTCGGACGTCTACGGTGGCGATTTTGGCCGTGTCAATCTGAGAAGAGGGGACCTTTTACCGTGCAATCACGACACGGTCCGATCAATGTCGTCTCGGCGCAACACTGACGCTACAACGACCCCACGCCAGTGACTTGGAGTGGCTCAGCGATTGCACCCTACCTAACGAGGACCGTTTTATTGAAGATAACGTTGCCATGCTTTACGAGTATTATCTTGCCTTACCATTTCTATGAACTACTTTATTTTTAGTTTGTTTTTCGGCGCTGATGACTTTGGAGGGGCATTCAAAGGACTACTTGTGCAAAAGTAGAACTACAGTGATTAAGTGGGAACCTTCGCCTGAAATCCAACAGGTGACGAGCTCCGTAGTTGGTGCATCAAGAACAGAGACGGTGATCCTATTCGGATAATCCCGTACGTGAACAGTATTTTGAATGCTCTCTCCATGGGCACTAGCTGCTTCTATAATTTCTACGATTGTTTAGAGAACATGTAGTAAAAATAAGTGGAGTTTGATTATGTGGTTAGGTCCTCTACAGACTTAGGGTTTCTTTATTGTTCTTTTTGTAACCTTTTATAAAATGATTTGGAGCGTTTATACGTCGTCACCTCGACCGGGAAGGATATTGGGCGGAGCGATTAGGGGTGATCCGTTAGCAGCTGAATGGAGTGCGTTGCTTATTGATTTGTGGTGAGTGTACGTACAACCGCTGCCGACCACACTAAGCGTGCCCTACCTCAAAGCTTTGTCTTGTCTAGAACGTAATCTTATGAGCGACAAAGAGCGAATATCGCTCCAAGGCTGTGTTCATAGTCAGAAACGCGGTCCGCGCGAGCGATAGCCGTAGTCGCGCGCATGGGATTCAACACTTGGCAGGGGAGGGCGTCCGTTATCATTTTGTCCCCTCATCACAAAGTACGGTTCTAAAATCCTTCAATCGCGCTCTACCGCTAATCGCCTATTCGGTCGGGTCGCTGACTATGAGCGGAACCTTAGACGCTATTCGTCACTGGGCTTGTTTCGTGGTATCTTTACCAATTATAGGAAATCCAGCGCAGTTCGGGTTGGGGGAGGGGGGCTCCATTTTTACTGTCTCCTATTGTCGTATTCATTACTTTGTAGGAGTTGACTGGTATTCTTTACAACAGTTTACAAGTGGTTTCTAGAAACTCCAACCAGTATCATTGCACAAGATTTCACAGTCTTGACAAGATTCCTTCTCTCCCCCTCCCAAGCCGAACGGCACGGAATTTTGTTTGAAAATCCAAATTATGCATGCTGCTTAAGCCTGCATGAACACTAACGCTTGTCAGCTAACCGCGTTGTCAAATTATCTGGTGATTTTTGATGTTTTTTTATTTTTTATAGTTTGGATTTGTATACTTGGTAATTAATAGATGTGTTGATAACTTTGTGTCGTTTTTATTTTCTTTGGATTTTTTGGAGCTCTGAGTTACTGTGATTGTTATGAACTTAACTGTGAATGCCGGTGATACTTATAAAGGATTTATCAATGCTTCTCATGTGAACTCGTTGAAAGCGTGTTAATTATGCAGTCTTTATTCGCATTTCCACATAGGTTTCGCCATCGTTGGAGGTTCCCAGCACAGGCACAGGATCGTGTTTGGTCGGTGAAGGAGGGATCATAATCTCACTGAAGGAATTTGTTAATTTTTCTCGTTTCTGTAGACCTCCCCTCCCCAACCCGAACTTGCCCTCACGGGCGAAAATTCTACTGTTTTGAATGGTTCACCATCGAGGGAACACCCAGATTTTCTTGGAGAAGTCGTATTGAAAAAAGGCACAGTTCGGCTTGGAGGGGCAATCCGCACTTTCGCTACTTCCCATTGTCGTGTCGAAAGTGCAGATCTTCCGCCCACCCCTCAAGCCGACCGGCCTCAAAAAAATATTCCCAGCACCATGGCTTGCAGTAACTGCTTATCAAATGAACTTTCTCTTGACACCGAGAGATCCCGCCGATGCGTCTTATAAATGGGGCACCGCTAAAGCACGGGCAAACTGTGCGGCGCAATCAAGGCTAAATAGCATACTTTCAGAGTGAGAAGTGAAAGAGAAGTGTCTTCCAGGTTTTTTTTTTCTGTCAGGGGGCATTAAAAGAATAAAGGAGGGGGACGATGGTTGGTTGTGGGCAGTGGTGCTGCCATGGAGATGCGGGTAGAATGAGTAGGGAACCCACAAAATGAGGCCTATTCCACCGATTCTTTTGGGTGAACTGTGAATCATGCCAACACTGGTAACGCAAGCGCGTAGTTCTAATTCTGTTTCGTTCAGGCGCATATACATAAATGAGAACATCTGGGCGCAATCATCTGTGGGCGGGGCACAGTCAATAGGCGGGGTCTCAGCCGTGCAAGGCATATCTACGTAACTTTGAGCACACCTTTTTGTTGCGAAGCCTGCCGTTAAAGGCTTCGTGGGGTAACCGCACGGAAGTGACAATGCTCTAAACTGGCAACCAGCTTGCATCAAGTTCTGCGTTTTTTCGGATGTTTCGGAGATGAATGTGCGGAGTCCGGCATCGCTAAGGCTTTCTGGGTAAGTTCACAGCGCGGCCTTCATTAGACCACTACGACGTACACATTCGCATAAGGGTATACAGTTCCCTTTCGAGCAATCTTCGAAGTCGAAACGACTGGTTGGAATATACGGCTCTACAAAAGGCTGTGAAAATTCACACACTTCTCACAATCAACTTATCAAAACTATCAAAAATTCCCACAAATATCTGAGCTATATTAGATTTATTCGTTAATTTTTACAGTGAACTCGTTCCTGACATGTGTCCCTGCCACCTATCAAACGCAGCTATACATTACAGACCTATAGGCACTATATTTTCAAGGTGATGTGCCGCCTGGATTTTGACTGACATTCGTCCTTGACTGGACGAGATCACCAGCACGTAGATTGACTCGTCCAAACCCTCCACCGTACACATCGGAGTTCGCCCTTGCGAACGCAGCCAACGAACGAATCGTCAAACCATTCAGCAACTCAGTGGCTTGATCCTGAAATTAGTTATTTCAGTTTTGTATTTACAAAGCAAAGTGGGCGGAGCCAAAATTCTTGTAGAAAGTGAATCATTGGATGCATCAAAAGCTCCCAACCGAAAAAGATATTACCTCTTCTACCTCTTCATTGATATGAGTGCAGTAGCTGCAGCGACTGATCTTCTTTGAAGATCGTATTGAAGGCTGAAAATTTCGATTTTCGCAACTGCCCTGATCAGAAAATCGAATTTTTGTAAGAGTTCCCAGACGAAGACTATTCACCTCTTCTTCCTTTGGTTGGATCTTTGATGTTAACCGATCAATAGAGTTCTCGAGAAGCGTAAAAGCACCTCAAAATAAGATCAATCAATAAAATCTGCGTTATATATTGCAACTTCCACGGTAATCAGGTGGCGGGGCTCTTGACCACTGATTCTTCCTCTTTGATGCTGCGCGCCTTGTTTATTTTGGTGAAGAGGCTTGACAGGCCAATGATGCTTATGAGTCCCGCCCAATTGGTTATCGCGGAATGCTTCGTGTAAGAACGATGTGGAACTTACCAAATACCCCGTTTTCAATGAAGACATATGTGGCCCGGTTGACAACCTTCATCACTGGCATCCCGAAAAAGAACAAAGCGGAGATGATTGGATGAAACTGAAGAGATCATGGGTTAAAACGATTGATTTTTGTCATGAATCACAACTGCAGAAGCTTTACTCTTAGTAAATAATCGAGTTGCAAAGTCCCGCCTCTTTTCTGCAGGCTCCGCCCCCTTCGATTTGGAAGCGCTGCAGCTTTTAGCCAAAACATCTGCCATTTTTCTGCAACGCACATCATCCGGAACCAGGCGAAGTTTGGCTTACGAGGAGCAATAGGAGGAGGCAATTTACACTTCCGCTATTTCATCACAACTAACAGGT